CAGTGCCTGCCCGTGCCCAGGAAAACCGACACCGTGGTGGTGGGCGCCTACGACCAGGACGCACCCGGCCCTGATCAGCAGAAACTGAAAATCGAGAAGGTACCTCCGGGGCGGGGTCCGTGTGCCTGCGGGATCCCACGGCCGCCACAGACGGCCTGGCGGCTGCTGTCCGGGCTCCCCTTGTCCTGGGGTTTGTGCTCCTGAGGAGTCCCCGGTTCCCCTTATCCTGAGGGTCAGGGTTCCTTGGGGTGTCCACGGCGTCCCACATCCCTGCACTGCAATCCCCTGGGGTGGGGTGTCCCTGCTCCCACTCATCCTTCAGGTCAGGTCCCCTGGATGTCCCCATGTTCCCAGGAACTCCCAAGGGATAGGGGTTCGGGCCTCAGGGTCCACTTCATCCCCGCAGGGGATGTGGCCTGGGGCGTCCCTGCTCCCCTGCGTCCCAGGGACTGGGCTCTGCGACTCGGGCACCCACGAGCCATCACGGGACCCACAGGAGCAATCCCCGAGCTCCCCGTTGGTCCCCGAGGTCCCTGCTGATCCCCGCGGAGTGCCCAGTGCCCGGCACCCTGGCAGGGGGTGCAGGTGCTGAGAGCGGTGCTGCCTGCTTTAGGTCTTCAAGAACCCCAAGTTCAACATGCTGACCATCCACGACGACATCACCCTGATCAAACTGGCCACTCCGGCGCAGCTGTCGGATCGCGTGTCCCCCGTCTGCCTGCCCAAGGCCACCGACGAATTCCCGGGGGGGATGACCTGCGTCACCACTGGCTGGGGGCTCACTGACTCCAGCGGTAACTGCGCTTTCTTGTCCCCATCCCCATTCCTGTCCCTTGCCTCATCCAAATCCCCGTCCCTGTCCTCATTTGAATCATAATGCTCATGCTGATGTCCCGTCCAGATCCCCATCCCCATCCCCATCTGAATCCCCAAGCCATTCCCGTACGCCCATCTTCATCCCAGTCCCATTCCTCATCCCCATCGCCAATCCCCGGCCCTGTCCCCATCTCCACCATCATCGCGGTCCTGTCCTCCTCGTCCCCCCATCCCCGTGCCGGGCCTTTCCCCATTCCGGCTGCGCTCCCGGTGCCGGCGCTGACGCCCCCCGCTCCCCGCAGCCTCGCACACGCCGGCGGTGCTGCAGCAGGCGGCTCTGCCGCTGCTCACCAACACCCAGTGCAAGGAGTTCTGGGGCTTCCGC